CAAATTACGATATAAAGGAAAATTGTGGAGCCCCCCTTCTATCATCAGTCTGTATTTATGTAGTAAATGCCCTACTCCAATAAATCCGTTTTAACCCGTATCAATCCAGGTACAACTCAATCAGGAACTCCCGGTTCCAGGAATACTTTATTATCAATGTCAATCCGGACACAACTTTATCTGTACCGATACTCGTTCCCTCTCGTTGTGGTTGACGAGGCATTGGAGCTATTCAGTTCAGTAATACTATAATACCAATGTCAATCCGTACACATCTTTATCTGTATCGACGACGAGGCATAAGAGCTATTCAGATCAGTAATACTTTACTATCAATGTCAATCCAGACACAACTTTATCTGTATTAATCCTCAATCTAGTTCTATATTTCAAGAGAATGATTCAGGAGGCTTCCTGTTTGCTAACCAAGTATAATTACTCTCACACTGTAATCAAAGCAGAGTCTAATTCCAACTGAATGTATTTTGGGTTCTAGGTTACAGATTAAGTTTAATAAACGTAATTACAAGTTTTGCGTTGTTGTATACAAACGTAGTTAGGCTAATCACAATACAGGTTCGACGTAGTTATTTACAGACCTAGCTAGGTTAGGTTTATTGCAATACAAGATTTGTGTAGTTACTTATAAGTGCATTTGGGTTTACAGACAATGTACAACGTAATTTATCTAGGTGTAACTATGGTATCTGCCATGGTATTTATTACATTAATATAAACATTCTTTAATCTTCACGATAAAAATGCCAACATCCTTTAAGAGATTGTTCAAGCGGCGCGGATTTAAAAGTGAATGAAGGCATACTTTCAAGTGATCCTCCATTTAAATTTATCAATTCACAACGGTACCATTGAAACCTTTATCTGATAAATAATATGGACGCTAACGTCGTTTTTTTAGCTTGAAAAGTATTTAATTCTGATAATTTCACTTTTGTAACTTTGTCTTTAACGTATAACTGAATTGCCCAACAAGTTAGAAAACATTTCTCCTTTTGTTTTAGCCAAGCAAATTAAAAAAAATAAAATCCAAAAGTTGCACACATTTTGGAACAACCCTGTGAATTTTGTTAATGACATTGACCTGCGGTGCTCTTAACACGCAATATCATCATGTCTTCTCATCCCCTCCCCCTTTAAAACATTCTATCGTGTATCTACTTCATCATAAAATCAATTTCTCCACTTGAAGAATCTAATGAAGTTGATCAAAAACTTTCATCAAACTGCAAGATTTCATCAAACTGCAAGATTTCATTAAACATTTAAAAAAAAATTTAGTTTGAAATGAAAACTTAACGCAATATACAGAGCACAAAGATAGGCTGGTAACCTCAATTTACCTAAATGTTTGCATAGCTCAAATTCAAATAACAACAAATTGTACAAAAGTTAATCGTTCTTCATGAACCTTTTTTATGGGACACACTGTATTTATGCACTAAGCCACATGAAACCATTGATGACATAGATTATTTTATAAACTTATCAGATAATTATCAAATTATCAAATTATCTCATTATTCAAATTATCTCTGATTAAATATCAAAGTGGAGTATATATATACGCCCATCTATAGCAACTTTTGTGCTCTATGGCTTTGTATTAAAAGGGTTATAAACCTATAATCATTAAAAAGATAACAGCAAAATTTAATTTTGTTTTTTCTCATTGTGAAAAATCTTAACGATTCTAATTGCACACTATTTAGAGGACAAAGTACAATATACAAAGAACTATGTTCACTGTACACTGTACAGTTTACAATGTAAAATGTACAGCGTACAGTGGACAGTGGACACAGTACAAAGTAAAATGTACAGTGTACAGTGGACAGTGGACAAAGTACAAAGTAAAATGTACAGTGTACAGTGTGCAAAGTACAATGTAAAATGTACAGTGTACAGTATAAAGTATATACAACTAATTATATACAATGTTGTTGACCTTTAAAAAAGGTCAAAAATATTCTAATAAAGAAATCAGAAAAAAACCAAATATTCTATAACATTTATTTAAGAAAAATAATATTGTTTTGAAATATTTGACCAAGACATAAAGATTGTAAATTGGTTGGTTAAGAAATTAATAAAGGCAACGACAGACATCAGCAGCAACTTCATGTTGGTAATGTATAACTTCAGATTGGTGGTGCAGATCAACTAGAACTGGAACAACAGGTTTCTGCTCTCTCCAGGTTCGCCTAGTAAACTCATTAGAGTTGAGATTATCCTCTTGTGGAGGAGAGTTAGAACCCTTGGGACAGGGTGAGTATCCTCTTGTAGAGGAGAGTTAGAACCCTTGGAACAGGGTGAGTATCCTCTTGTAGAGGAGAAGTGGAACCCTTGGAACAGGGTGAGTNGGGGGGGAGAAGAAGCGGGGGTTACATGTGGGCGAACCAAAGGAAATAGATTCACACGTCTTGAAAATAAACATCGGCATTTGAGTCGGTACAATCGTCTTCCTTATATTTCGAATTTATTTTAACAAATGTATGGGAAAAGAAATATTTCACCATGCCACATACATGAATCTTTATCACAGTGTAATGTAAGGAATAAAACAGTATTTGCAGTACACAATGTATCATTTACAACAGTTGTTTACAGTGCAAAATGCAAACCACTATACATAATGTACAGAATAAAAATTATCTTGCAGTATAGAGTATTTACAAAATAAATAAAGTACTTTGTACAGAAAATAATACCTTTTGCAGTACACAATGTATCATTTACACAAGTTGTTTACAGTGCAAAATGCAAACCACTATACATAATGTACAGAATAAAAATTATCTTGCAGTATAGAGTATTTACAAGATAAATATAGTACTTTGTACAGAAAATAATACCTTTTGCAGTACAGAGTAAATACAAAATAAGTATAATACATTACACAAAATATATAATAGTATTTGCAGTCCATTATATATATACCAGCAAAATAGTACATTTCAGTACTGAGTGTACGTACCAAATTTCTACAGTTCAATGTACAGAATAAGATGCTGTTTGTAATAATACTTGAACAATTATCAACAGATTCATCAAAAATTTAGTGGAAATTTTCCAGCAATTAAACCATCTTAGAGCCTTCGTTAAAGGAACGATGAATCGATAAAAATCTTTGAAATTTCTTCAAATTACGATATAAAGGAAAATTGTGGACAAGAAGGGAGAGGGCAATAATTATTAACATAATTTTTCACTAAAACTTTATACATTTTCTAACATTTTGGATTTTGTAATATTGTAATAATTCTCCAATTTGTCTCGGTGGTCTTATAAATCCTGATAATCTATGTAAAGGGTGGCAATTAGGCATAATTAAACACGGTATTTTCTGCTTTAATCATACCTTTTTAAAACAAAATGCGACTCACACTTAAATATTTTCTGTTGGATTTATAATTTATAGCGAGCCAGTCCAAATTAGGATTTAATTAATTCCCAGATTTATTGAAATATTTTAGTATTTTAGGAACGATTTCAATTCATTGAACTTTACATATTTGGTATTCTACGCTACCGTCTTATGTCCCGTTGAGATCTCCGAGTCTCCAGTCACCGTGTGGTTTAAAGATGCTTCAGAGATAGTCAATACACGGTCGATACATGGCCGATACAAATCGTAAATACAAATATTTTTGCATGCATTAGCCGTCCAGATTAACATCTTACAATGGTGTTTCTCGTAAATCACTTTCTCCATTTTCTTTTTTGGGGAAAAATATCGACTTTATTGAGTTTCTAGAATTTTCTAGGTTTCTCTCTTTTCATCTTACTATTTATCTAGCTTTTCTTTTACTCTATATCTAACTTTCATTGCAATCGTCTTATTTTCTTATTTCTCATTTGTCTATCTATTAATCTATCTAACTTTTTGTCTATTTTATTAATCTTTTAGACTTTTAAGATCCAATTGTCTATCTATTTATCTCTCTTTCATTACCCCTCTATCCTCTATTTACTGACACCCCCATCCATCTATCTTTCACTTTATCCGACCCTGCAATATTCTTCTCTATCAATCATTTTTTCCTCGGCTTGAAATCAATCTGTATAGACCTATTATAAACATATCTCTATACTTGTATATAGCACAATTCAAAACATTAATTTTAACTTCTTCTTAAATGAGCGATTACTTTACCTAAATAATATTCATAAAAAATGTACTGAAATTTGCTTATTGAATAGGTCCCAGGGGGCGGAAACGTCATATGTGTTTGTCTGTACCAAAAGAGTGTGTGTAAAGTTTACCGTACTGGTCTGTAAGGCAGTTCGACTGGCTTTCTCATGCCAGACCAGCGCCATTTCCTTTCCCTTAATTCCTATTCCCTGATAGGTCCCTGTGTCATATGTACTGTATCAGTAGATCTCCTGCTATGTGTACTGTATCACAGAAATACCAGCTTGATTTTTGAAGGCAGAGCCCAAAACTTAAGACAGGGTATCATTATGAAAACCAGTTTTGAAACCCGGGTTTCATAAATGGGGTTAGGAAGTTTTGTGGATATCAATTTTTTTGTTATGAAATATTTTTTTTATTTAGTTTCTTCATATTCTGAATTTTTGTCGAATCTTTTAAGTCAAAATCTAAAAAATGTTAAGACCCCAAAAAGGAAACTCGGGAGTTTCGTTCAACGATACTCTTTTAAATTTTGGGCTCTGTTGTTCAAGTAGAACAGTACAATATACATATTGACAATTCACCAAATTGTCATCCTCTAGCTAGTTATATAAATGTGATATATTTAGGTTCCTGTCCAACGTGTGACGAGGTACCCGTTGTTGGTGTCCAGGCTGGTCAAGGTTACCCCGGTGCAGCACCAGGACAGTATACATCTCCAGCACACCAGGGAGATCATTGAACAGAGTCTAGACTCTATGAACCAGGAAACCAACAGGTATTAAAGGCAAAACTAAATCCAGATATTTTTTGAAAAATTGTGTTTGATAAAAACATTTTTTTTGTTAACGGACATGGGGAATATTTTTAGAAAGATATTTGATAAATGGACAATATTCTAGATTATAGGCGGACAATATTCTAGATTATAGATGGACAATATTCTAGTAGATGGACAATATTCTAGATTATAGATGGACAATATTCTAGATTATAGGCGGACAATATTCTAGATTATAGATGGACAATATTCTAGATATTTTATAGATGGACAATATTCTAGATTATAGATGGACAATATTCTAGTTTGTAGATGGACAATATTCTAGATTATAGGTGGACAATATTCTAGATTATAGATTGACAATATTCTAGATTATAGGTGGACAATATTCTAGATATTTTATAGATGGGCAATATTCTAGATATTTTATAGATGGACAATATTCTAGATTATAGGTGGACAATATTCTAGATATTTTATAGATGGATTATAGGTGAACAATATTCTAGATTTTAGATGGACAATATTCTAGATTATAGATGGACAATTTTCTAGATATTTTATAGATGGACAATATTCTAGATATTTTATAGATGGACAATATTCTAGATTATAGGTGGACAATATTCTAGATATTTTATAGATGGGCAATACTCTAGATTATAGGTGAACAATATTCTAGATTTTAGATGGACAATATTCTAGATTATAGATGGACAGTATTCTAGATATTTTATAGATGGGCAATACTCTAGATTATAGGTGAACAATATTCTAGATTATAGATGGACAATATTCTAGATAAATAGGACATTTCATAGACAAAATGAGTTTCCAACAAAGAAGCTAAGCTATTTCAGATATATCTAGATTTCTAGTTTAGTAAATATTCTATATCTATACTATGGATTTTTCTTTAAAATATCCTTTTTCTGAACAAACCACTTTATGAACTTGTAAAATGTCCCTTATCTCTATTCAAGAATTCATCCATTAAAAACAAAAGACGGTAAACGTATTACTCTGAGAACCAACTGAGCCCCATACAAGGATTTTTCTATTTCTGCGACTAAATGCATAAACACGAATTCATATTTTTCGCCTTGTCAAAGATAACAACAGAGATGACGAGTTCAATTCCAGTTTTTAGGGTTGGCAGCCCAGCAGGACTTCAATATTTACGAATAAATTTAAACATTTTGTTTCTGGGTTTAAACATTAGGATTATCATCATTTTTGTTGAAAAAAATTCCCAGATAGTTTTGTTCTAGTCTTTAAACATATATTGTAGATACATTTATAAAAAACATTGACACAAAAAATGTAGGGATACCAACATAAATTAGACTTTTTGGAGAAAAATCAAGACATCTGTAACAATTTCGAATCAGTTTCCAAGATTCGCAATAACTTTACCTTTGGTTTTATCCTACTAATCCATTGAGATATTTTTGTAGCCCCGGATAGGTTCATTTTAAATTAAAAATTTGGCAAAACAGTGATTTCACTTTGCAATAGAGGCATTTTGGATCACTGGGTATGCCTTATATCTTGTATTCATGGTTCTTTAGCAGCTTTAAACTTTTCAACCGCATATTTTTTAATATTAACCCTATCCCTGCTGGGGTACTTGAAAACCAGGATACGCTGGGGGGGGGGGGAATTTTTCCCCCCCTCTAAATCCCATGTTTTATGTCCAAATATGACAAATACCCCCAGCAGGAATAGGGTTAATAGTGTTAATACGATAAATAACATGAATATACACAAACGTAACCTTAAAAATTTGGCATTTAAGGAGTTTCAGGTTAATGGTATTTAAATTTTTATCCTTTGTTTTAATGCTTTGTTAACAAATCGTATCTTTTTATCTTTTCAAAATGTCAAAATAATGGTTCTAATGCACATTTAGCATGTGTATAAATGAATACAGAGGGTGAATTTAAAGAATTTGAGCTTAAAATTTATTCCGCGGCTCTACTTAAAATCGTATTCAGTTTTTTCAAGATTCAAGCCGGCGCTCAATTGAAACCGGTTTTTGGAGATTTTCAGACGCGGCTTAAATTCATTAAATCCGAACACCGGTCGACCGACTTTCATCATAGTGTACTGTACAACTGTGAACTTTCCAGAAAGAGAAGGTCAAATTTAAGCGACATTACGGATACGACTTTGTGACTCCGTAGCTTCTCTAGTTATGATTATATGCACAAGTCTGAGAGAAGTAGTTTTATCCAAATAGGTTGACAAGCACAATAGATGGCAACACAAAAATCGACCAACTGCGCACAACGTCATATGTGATCTATAGAACGTTAAATGAAAAAGTGTAAAAACAGAAATAAAGAACACATAAAATTGCACTAATTTCACTAAAAGATAAGCACTTTAGTCTAACAATATCACTTTTATTTATAGTTTTGTCAGACAGAAAATTCGTGTTGACACTTATGACGTTTAATCAGCTGTAATGAAAGTGTACGCATTCTGTGTTGCCATCTATTGTACTTGACAACCTATTTGGTTTTATCCGGTTATATGCTAAAAACTGAAAACATTTTTTTTCTTCCCATAGGTCTTCTCTACCCGATCCAAATTTGCTTTTACCTAACTGTACAGTTGTACAGGTTTGATAATTGACTCTGAGCCCGAAACTTAAGACAGAGTATCGTAAAGAAACCCAGTATCGAAAAACCAGTTTCACGAATGGGGTCAAGCAGTTTTGTAGATACCAATATTTTTGCTACGAAATATTTATTTACGTGGTTTCTTCACACTCTTTTTTTATTTTCTGATTTCTTAAATTAAAATCTACGCAAATGTTTAGAACCCAAAAAAGAAACTTACATTTCCGGGTGTGACCTGTCGAATTTCTCAAAAAATCAAAAGTTTTCCTTTATGTTAATGTGGGTATTGTTTGTAAAATCTTTGTTTTAGGGAGAATAGTTCTACTAAATTATGGCGAAGAATTAGTATAATGAACCCACCAGCACGCCGGTCAGAAAACCAGATAGATGTTCTAGGAACAACCACCTGGGGAGTTAGAAAGGTAAATTTTTCATACTAATCTAATTTATACTTACTTTTTGTTGGTTTGTTTCTAAAATATGCTAAAATGACTGAACCGATAAGGCCCAACTGCTTTGTAGAACCTCATATGATTGACCCAAAGGCAGGTTTATTGGCAGAAAAAATAAAACCTGATTTTATCAAATCAGAGAATGTTTTTCTTCAGTTTTTGCAGATTGCGAAGACAAATTATGGCATGTAAACCAACTTTTACAAGCTCAAATAATTACTAAAAAAAGAGCTAATTGTATATATTGAAAATCAAAACAACATTATTAAACTAAAATTAAAAGCTTTTGAATAAGGTTTTACATTATTTTAATATTTCTGAATGAAAAAAAACTATCTTCTCTTAATCTAATCAATGCTTTTATTTTTCCGATATTTGTGTTTCTTGACAAATCCTGTTTGAACACTACAAAAAGGTTTTCACCTGGATGAAAAGCATGGACATTGGACATCCATTTCAAAGAGCATTTTTCGTCAAATGCATTACCCTCCCCCCCCCCCACATCCATACCTTGAACTTGACAAAACAATGCGACCAAAAGATATATTTCAACCTGACCTTGTCTTGTCTTCTTCTTTTCCTACAAAATTCATTCAGAAGGTTTTAGATTGATTCCAACATGGATCTTCTTTCTGAAGATAGAACACGAGAGATTATAGTTTTTTAGTTGTTGTACTTATAATTACATCTTAAAGTGTATAACAGTATTTCCTCACAGCGACATGTTCTTGGTCGAAACATTAAAGTGTATTTTCACTTTTTAAATAATTCACTAATTTTAAACTACGAAAATAATGCCCGTAAACCCAGAATTGTTGAAATTAAAAAAAAGATACTTTCTGCCTTTTTGGAATTTATTTAAATTGGTTCATTATATAGTTTACAAAAACTGTAAAAATTGAACAATTATATGTTATAATGTATACAGTCCAATGTATGGAAAGTTTAAACCAAATCCACTAAGTTTGAAATAATCAAGGTTTTCGGCCGTAATTGGAGTATGAGGGGATAGATTACAATAAACAATTATTGATTAAAGATATAATGCTTCATTGCTCGTTTTATCCTTTGCGCTTCTATCATTTTAGTTCTATTGGGTTATTACAAACCTACAAAATTAAAATGCAGAAGTTTAAAATGACTCGATTTATGTGTAAAAGTTAATAAGATAATTTTGCCTGGTATTTTGCCAGTTTGGCTTGTTAGCCAAGAGTGTTCTTTGCAGTTTTTGTCCTCATCCCTCGGTCCAGCTCGTCCAGCTGTATTTAACGTTTCTTCAGTTCATCTCATAAATCTTAGAACGTATTAACCAATTAGGCGGGAGCTCATGCTACCATTTTTCTTCCATCGCCCTAGGTTATACGACAATCAAGTTGTTTAGAGCTAGACAGCTTTTGCAAAATTCTACCCCCCCATACTCTTCTTTATTTTGCTGGTAAAGCACACATTTGGCGAGAAATAAAACCTGGGTTGCACATTTTTAGCAATAAAATTCCGAGTAAAAATAAAACTTTTGGTTAAACAAAACCACTATTCGCGGATCAAGATTTAACTTTTCCCGCATATCTAAGGATCTCGCAGCTTCTGATTTCATGTCAAACAGATAATTCTGGGGAAGATGTTTTAGGCAATATTTAAGAACTGCTTCGTTTCACTACAAAAAGTAAAATTTAAGAAATATGCTTGGTGTAAAGATTCAAACCAAAAATATTCATTCTCAAATATGAATATATCAAATCTGTACTCTTCCTACTCTTCCTGGTTTGATTGAGAACGCGCATTTGTTCTTTTTTCCTCCACCCTGCAGGGTTTTATAGCATTGTGCTGAGATTTAAAGAACAGTGCGGGACATGCGAGATTGTTAGTAAACAATGATATTTTCTGCCTAGGATACATCACGGAGCAATGACGGAATTGAGTGCCAAAAATTGGTTATTAAGCAACACGGCCCTGTGATATTTACACGATTTTAGATTCTAAAAACATGCTGTCAACATTTTTTTCAATTCAAAAAAGCAACATTTTGATTTCCCTACAAAGAAGCATAAAAACATTACATTTTTGTCTGTTATCTCTAAAATTATCTCGAATAATGGTTTAATTGAGGTAAACTCAAGCAGAAGGATTGCAATGAAATTCTGGTTATGATTAATGTTACTTTGAACTTCACGAACAATCACTTAACATATTGACAACAACATTTTGTTATGATCTGATTTTTTTTTAGATAGTTCTTGAGACCCTTGGTTGGGGCCGGGAACCTCGGGAGGAGATAAATTTTGTTCTGGAGGGACGGTTACTCTACACCCAGCCTACAGAGACCAACTGGAGAAACATGTTCTCTGTCAAGATGAGCCCCATCAACGTTCTCCTGGTTACACTTGGAGCCAGTGCCCTCCCACCCTCGCAAGGTATGGAGGTGGGAGAGGAGCCATCCTTCCCTCGGTACACAGGCTACAAGGAGGCTGCTCTGATTCTCCTGAAGGAGAAGGGGATGAGGTATTCCCCCGTGAGGGAGCCCCTTCTCCTAGGCAGGTGCATCATCTGCTGGGAGAAGGAGTGGGACGATTGTTTTGAGATTACAGAGTTCACTTCCAAGGAATCTTTTATATTCAAGGTAATTCATTTTAAAACAACCTGTAGTTTCATCTACATATAGATTTATATACAAAAAGATGGAGAGAGTTATTTAAAGTCACGAGAATTTGAGAATCTTTTTTGGTCGCAACAAAATTTCAAATATTTCTTTAAACAACTTTTTTGTGAATTATGTTCATCCTTAACAATTGTTTTCTCAAATTCTCAAAATGTTCGATATTCCGCAAAAAGGGAAATTCTTTAAAAAAAACGCTTTAAAAATTTGAACTGTTGACACCCTGTAAATAAAGGGGCTGGTGGGAAAGTATGAGACCCCAGGGAGATCTTAGAATTACAAATACCATGCATGAGACAGAGAAGCAATTATTTTAACTATAATTAGTTTGGAGTAGTATTATCTACATGTAAAAATATACGATGGGATGGTTGTGAGTGTGGTAAAAACCTTGTTAAAATCCTATCTTTGCTTTCTTACATCAATTACAAGACTAAATAGGGGCGTCCACAGGTAGGGAGGTTGTAAAGTTTTCTCCTCCCCCTGAATAAGTGAAAACTATGGTTCCCATGGGTTATAAGCCAAAAACATGTCTTATACCATAAAAAAAAACTCGGGTCCAAGGGACTGCAGACGTCATTATTAGGGTGGCATGTCTGATTCACAACAGTATCATTTAAACCTTTGTTTTAGTGACAATGTGGTTTCTATCATAAAAAGTGTTGGAGTCCTTTCATTGAGTCTCCAGCAGAAATCTGCATGTCACTTTTATACAAAACCCACAATTGAAAGTATTCAATTTTCTGCTAGAAAAAAGGAGAACCAAAAAAGTTTTGGAAGGGTACCGTTGTGAGTCAGATATGACATTTTTATAAAACGGAAGGTTCATTTGAAATTACAGACAAGACCAGATAATAATAGTACATGATTTAAATAAAAATAGAAGAATACGCAACATCCGTGTGTTTGAATAGATAATGAACGTGTATAAGAATAGACAACACTCGTGTTTAAGAATATACAGCACATGTGTTTAAAACTAGACAAAACCCGTGTTTAAGAATATACAACAGCCGTGTGTAAAAATAGAAACATCCGTGTCTAAGAAATGACAACACACGTGATTTTGAATAGACATTACTCTTGTTTAAGAATAGACAACACTCGTGTTTAAGAATAGACAACATTCATGTTTAAGAATAAAAAATACCCGTGTTAAAAATAGAAAATACCAGTGTTTAAGAATAGACAATACCTGCGTTTAAGAATAGCAAACACACTAGTGTAAGAATATACAACACTCGTGCTAATAGCCATGTTAAAAAATAGACAACACCCGACTTTGGGAATAGACAACAACTGTATTTATGGATAGACAATACCCGTGTTAAAAAATAGACAACACCCGTGTTTAGGAATATACAACAACCGTGTTTAAGAATATTAAACGCCCATGTTTTAGAATATATACAACAACCGTTTGCAAGAATAAACAACACCCGTGTTTAAGAATACGGACGTGTATAAATATGACAACTGTTTGTTATAAGCTCTAGAATAAGAAGAATAAGAATCATTCATGTTTCAAGGTTCCTGTCAATTAAATCCTCTGCTATGCCAAGTATATGATACCAACAAGAGAATCTTCAAAACCAGACTTTTAAACCTCACGCCTTCCTTAAATTCATAATTTGGCTTTTGGGGTTTATCTATAGACTTCCGCTCTTTTTAGTGATCCAAACTATTCTTTTTAAAAATAAGTCTTTCATACTTCTGTTTTGGGGTATAGACTTCCGCTCTTTTTAGTGATCCAAACTATTCTTTTTAAAAATAAGTCTTTCATACTTCTGTTTTGGGGTTTATTTAAAGTTTAAACTCACCCCTTAAACTTATTAATTGTCTAAACTAAAACATTTGTTTTCAGAATCATATTCTGTTTTTGGGATTACTTTATTGTCCACCCCTTTTAATCTCATATCTTTCTTATTTTCATAATTCTGCTTTTGTGGTTTATTTAAACTTCCACCCTTTTCCAAGCTTTGATCCTTCTTAAACTCATGATTCTGCATCTAGGCTTTTTAAATTTCCGTTTCTTTCCTAGAGTCATAATTCTGCTTTTGGGGTGAATTTAAACTTCGTTCACTAACACAGGAATTTTAATTGTTTTTACAAACTTCCGCTGTTTTTAACATTAAAAGATTTAATCTTTACTGGGCTCATAATCAAAATTCGGGATATTTTTTAACCTTCTTACATTTCTTGGATTGTTTAATCTTTGCATTTAAAAATATTTTTTTTGGATTTTAAATTGTTTGTCAATTTGGCTGTGTTCTTCATAAAATAATCAACAATGGCATGTTTTATTTCATTAAGATTTATAAACATATTTGTTAATTGTGTTTACAGAAATTTAAAAGTTCAGTCTTCCTCAAACCTTGAACCTGAAGCTAGAGAATCATATTTCTAGAGAACTACCCCCCCCCCCCCCCCCTCCTCTACTAAACTATTAGCTTTATAAAGAAATAGAGTGGAACCTTTTAAATAAATGGAATTAGCTAAACTTGTTCTTACTTCGTTGGAGAAATAACAGATGATTTAACAAAGAAGAGAAAGAAAATAATGGGAATATAGGATCTGTATAGGATTTGTATAGGATCTGTATAGGATCTGTATAGGATCTGTATAGGATCTGTACAGGATCTATAAAGGATCTGTAAGCGAAATTTCGATTAATCCTCCGTGCAAAGATGACATTGCCCACATTCACAACGGTACCCTTGAAACCTTTATCTGATCAATATTGTGGAAGATATTGTTGTGTTTCTAAGTTTACATGTGTTAAATACTGATAATTTATTTGTATATGCATACTACAGGATAAATTCTTTTTGTAGAGAAACCACAGTTGAAAGTAATCTGATTTCAAAATTATAGACAGTGATATAATTCATATTTGATCAGCCAAAGCTTTAAAGGGTACCGTTGTGAATCGGGCATTGTCATCTTTGCATAGAGGGTCACTTAAACGCTTACAATCCCATTAACTTCATTCCTATTATTATAATTGCTATACCTCCAGCAGAAAATATCATTTCTATAGCAGCTCCTTTAGAAAAAAGTAGATTTTAGCAGAAATTATTATAGTTTAAAATATAAAAGGTCAACAACATTGGGTTGCAAAGATATAACGGTTAGAAAATCAGAGTTTGTGGCAAGGACTCAGTTCCTTTCTAACGAATTTGTTCGTCCTAAAGAGAAATTTCTTTATTTACATCCTGCTGCATCCTGCACGGGATAGAGAAAACAGAGATGGTATCTTCTCCTTTCTCCTTTCATTGAATAATATACGAGTGTGCAGTGTCTGGGTAATGTTCAATGTTCATTCTTTGGTTTGAATTATGAACACACAAGACCTTTTATGCGGGGAAATAAAGTATATTATCTGAGGGGTACAGGAGGGGGGGGGGGGGTTATGATTAAGGCATGAAAAGGTATATTTGCATATCTTTTATAGAACAAAATCTTACACATGTTAAGGGTTTAAGTTTCCCTTTTAAATATGCAATCTGCATATTTAGCGAGAAACAAAACGCAATGTAACATGCATAATATTTTTTAGAATCCAGAAAATGTATCCATCCAATTAACTCCCGCATTATCTTTTGTATTTTTGACAAATATGCATGAAATTTTTGAATTTTTTTTTTGAAAGGCAATCTGATAAACCCTTCCAAAAAATCCGCTGAACTATTTTTTCCTCAAAATTAGATGAGTAGAAAAACAAAAATGCGGGAATATCTTATTTCTATCACACCTTAAAATCTTAAACAGATCAGATGAGTAGTTTTGAAGAAAATGCAAATAATTAAATTCAGAAAATCCGCAATTGTATTTTGTAGAAATCCTCTCGTCCCTATCTTCTTGCTGTATTCCAAAGTAATACATATTGTCTGTTCTGTTGAAAATTGAGGAGTCAAATTTTCAAAAACTATTGAAAAAACTCCAGACAGGAGAGTTGCACAAACAAGTACAATTTTGAACCAGGCGCCGCAAATCACACTTTTTTTTTGACTCACCCTGTTTATATATATATATATATATATATTTTTTTTTTACTCACCCTGTATATATATATATATTTATATTAATCTTGGTTACGAACTCATTTTGATTTAACTGCTTAAAACAAGGCCTTGGGCTAAATTCATAGAGCTAAATAGAGGACCTATAGTATTTTTATTAATCAAGATTAAAAATACGTTTCACGCAAGAATATTTCAAAAGCCCTGATGGCTACCATATAGTGTTAGGCGAATTACACTAAATTACATAAACACTTTTAATTGGTAGGTTTTCCGTAAATTATAAACAACTATTGCTCTTGGTGTACGCTTTGATCAATAGCTTAATGGTTTGCGTAAAATAAGAATCCTCTCTTGGTGTAACATTCCTCAATGGTGTCCAAAATCTTAGATCTTTGTAAAACTTATATCGAATAAAACGTATTTATTAATGCCACTTACATTTTCAGTTTGAACAAATATATTTTTTTCAAGTTGGAAAAAAGTCTGATACCCTTATCTGACCTAGGGTAGATATATGATTTTTTGATCAGTTTTATAAGTTTCTTCTTAAATTCAAAATAAGTAAAAAATTAACAATATTTTGGCCAAATCGATCATAATTTTCGAAATACTCTTTTTTTTAACCCAAACAGCGTTAAACAGCAGGCGAACTTCAAAAACTGTCCTGGCTAAATACTTGATGCAAATTTGTTTAACTGTCTTCTATAGGTTGCTGTGAAATATAATGTCTCCTAACCCTTGTTTTTGTTCTTAGTTCAAAATCCAGATGAGAAACAAAATCTAGGTTGTATTCCCATTCTAATTTTGAAATCCCCTTCGGCAGAAAACACCGCTGCTAGCTATTAAATCAAATTCCAAATATCAAACATGTGTATATATCAATGCAGTTCTATAGACCGACAAATATGAATTAATATAAACTATGAGGTCACTTTAGTTTAAACCAATAATTTAGGGCTAGCACGTTCCAAATATCGTGAAAACAATACTAATAATTATTAGATAGATGGGTGATTGGAGATAATCTTGCATTTAAAGGATATTTTGGTATTTCTAGTTTTATACTAAATATATTTCTACTGTCAATAAACTATTGTATCAAAGAGCGCGTTTAATTTTTCATTAGAAACTGAAAACGTCTGCATTACAGGGTATCTCATAGTTAATTGTGTCTAATGATATCTTTATTTGATAATTTTGATTCAATTATTTCAGGGTGTCTAATAATTTGTTTTTAACAGGGTGTCTAATAAATTGTATATTACAGGGTGTCTAATAACTTGTTTATTACAGGATGTCTAATAATTGGTTTATTACAGGGTGTCTAATAACTTGTTTATTACAGGGTGTCTAACAATTGGTTTATTACAGAGTGTCTAATAACTTGTTTATTACAGGGTGTCTAATAATTTGTTTATTACAGGGTGAGGATGAGCGGCAGACCCTGCAATGGTTTAAATCACTTCAGTTCCTTTGTCTTAACCTCGGAGGTTGGAGAAAACGAAGAAATGGCCTTGCCAACATTATGATCAATGGAATGGTTCATGGAGACGGAGATTTCACTCTGAAAACATAAACCTGAACCTGATCCAGACCGGAATCTGAACCTGAACCAGACCTGAACCTGATTCAGAACAAGAACCAGAACCTGATCCAGAACCAGAACATGATCCAGAGCCTGAACCTGGCCCAGAACCTGAACCTGATCCAAAACCTGAACCTGACTATAAAACCCTAAATCTGAACCTGGACCTGAACAAACCAAAGCTGTTCAAACCTAAGCCTGGAGTGAACACTCTCTGAACCTGGTCTAAACCTCTAGTTTGATAATTCTTTCTATTCAGCTTTGAGAGGGTTTTCTGGTTTAACAAAGAGATTTATTATACTGAGCTTCAACCTAACAATTCATAGAACAAGGTTTCTTTTTCTAAACCAGAGTAGGGTTTCCTCTTTATACATGGATGTACAGGATATCTGAACCCAGTCAAACCTTGAACAAATACAAATTCAAGATCGGAGAGACAAGGACGAGAGAGAAGGTTTTGCTCCAGTGCTCCTTTAGGATCTGGAGACACCAGGAACTAGATGTGACGAGGTGTAACCATCCTTAACCAGTGATAAATGGCATACGGAGAAGTGTTAAAACCAATCAAGAAGCTGTTTACTTCCCTTTATTCTGGTAATCAACGGACTGAAACTGTTTCTCCGGATAAGAAGGATGAAGAACGGTTTCAAGGATTTGAAATCTAAACTTTCATTCACACATTCTTGCAGAGAATTGAAGAATAAATTGATTTGATAATCCCAGAGCAGAGTATCAAGAGTAAACCATTGAATCATTGAACTCATTCAATATTTCAACTATCATCATCCTCCTTCATACTTCCAACAGTCAATACTTTCAATACAATTCTATATACTGTATAAACAAATAAGTCACGACACCCTTTGTCTGAAATGTGGGGGCCCCACACATAATATTATAACCCTGCCCTCATTCACTTTCGCTTTACAGGCCGGGGGATTTCAACCTCATAAAACCTTATATATATTCTCAAATAAAACCATGGGTTTAATTTATATAAACCCCGGGTTTCTCTTGCACCCCTTTAAACGAACCATGCAGATTAAAAAAGGTTAAAAGTGAAAAGACTCGAAGAAAATGTCGTAAATTCGAAAAGTCTTTAAAATAACTCGAAAAAGACTCGACATAGACTTGAGTGAAGACTCGAGTTCGAGTCGGCTGTGACAACTTCCTGTGATAAAGCCGAAGCTTGTTAAAAATATTAAACAAAAATAAATTTGAAATTAAACTAAATAAACTTTAAAATAATTATACTTTTCTTTGTACGAGTGAATGACATCAAAATCAAAGTATTGTCCAAAAGAATGTTTACATCAAAGTTTTTCTTTTTATTTTAGTACTCACTGATTCTAAAGTGGCCAATATACTGTCAAAGATTCGGCCAAAATTCGGCCAAATAGAAATCTACCTTCATGTCTCTAAATGGTTTATTTTATGGATCAGACCCTTCAATGTTACGTNTAAAACCATCAAAGCCACATCACTCTGCTATTAACATGCATACATAAACATATGACATATTCATGCAGTACATATAGGATCCCTCTCATTTTGATGCACATCCTGATCCGGGTCCTGGATCCGCCCTGAAAAAAATTATTTGAAAAACATTTTATTTTATTGCATATCTATTAAAGTAACCGTTAAGATGCAGATGGTCGTTTTCTGCTGAGTGTTGGAGGATTTTTTAAAATCCAATAGTCAACGCTGGTGAGCTTGTATAACTATAGCAAATAGAGGTTGAGCCAATTAATAAAGTTATTTATAGTGAAATGTTATAATTTAAAAATTCATGTTTTAAAATAATCGTTATTTTTAAAGTACCATAAAAATGATCACTTATAAAGACGGTATCATGACATGCAATCATAGTCACTATTTTCTTATGTTTAACGAGACACCATTAACCCTGTAGATATTGTGCAACGTACTGATTAAAATAATTATAGCCACCCTCCTTCTATTTAGTATTATTACGTTCAATGTTCAGCCTTTAGAGTCCATTTAACGCAATTTAAAGATTCCTAATCTATTTTAATTATATTTAATATCCTATTTAAACTATTTTTCGTATAATGAGATTTAATCAGGTGTTCATTATCGTTAACGAGAATATTTATGACATAATTGGAAAAAAAACTAAACTCTCATCTAAGTATGGGGTGGGATAGTAAATTTTTTACAAAATGCATTAATAAATAACCAGAAAAAATCCCCCAAAAAATCATTGTTTAAGTACAGATATAAAATCTGTAAAACGCAACGTTACATACTTTTTTAAAAGCTCTAAAATATTTGTTTTAGCGAACACTTCATTAAATTCAAAAAAAAAGAATTTTAATAATGTGTATATAAGGCCAAGCAAAATTAAAATTATGAAAAAAAAACTAGCAAAAATTGGCAGAATGTTGTTGGGTTTGGGAAAATTAGATTTCATCAAAAATTTCACACATTGTCATTGCGTTGCGAAAATTACAAATACGTGATAAAATTTAAGAATAAAGATTCTTAATTGGTGCAATTTTTTTAGATTTCAGCTGTATTCCAATGCTACTTTCGCTATGAAAAACAAAATTTAAGAACCGAGATTCCCAATCAAAATTTGAGGCAAATTGGTCAAGAGAATCCTAAGTTTATGATCGGACATACAAACAGACAGACAAACAATACTACTTTCTTCTTATAGATATGACAAAGAGTGCTGAGAGCCTATAATATATATCTATATTATGGAACATAATTTAATTGAAATTCAACAATACAATTTATAAACTGTAATTATACGCTAAAATTGGGAAGAAAAGAAGAATTTAACAATTGATTGAATAGTTCTATAATTTAAAAAAATGCCACATTCTTATCAAAAATAAAATAATCAAGATTTATAGGAAATTTAGAGATGAAAATGTTAAGATATACTTAATGGAACTTTACGCATAATTTCAAATGACCCTCCGATTCACAGCTTCGTATGTTCAATCATAAAATTAAATATATATGTTTATAATTTTGAAAATTTTAAATAATTTTCAAGTTTGAATTCTTTAAAAGTGGCTTGCACAATTCTAATGCAGGAAACATACAGGAATTATCAGAATTAAACACTTTTAATAAAAAACGACAATGTCTTCCACATTGTTGATCAGAAAAGGGTTAGGATTAGAAATCGACAATGCAATCCCTAAAAAGTTCTTCAAAAGAGAATATTTTTAAAATTCATTGTATTACAAAGTTTTCATTCAGAATGGTTTAGTTGATAAATTATAAAATTTTGATACGAAATTTAAGAAATTTTTGATACAAAATTTAAGAAATTTTGATACAAATTGTTTTAGAAATTTTGGCACATGATCCTTATCTTGATACAGGGTGTCTGAAAAATGTTGTTTAATGCCTAATAGTCTGATTAGTTAACTAGTGAATTAACATGATGAAATAAAAATTCTTGATACAGAATGTTTCAGAAGTTCATTGAACAAAATGTTTCAGAAATTTTTTATACCGAATGTTTCTTAAAGAATTTATTAGAAATTTAATTGATTCAAAATATATTGCAGCAATACTTAAAACAGATTGTTTCAAACATCTTCAATCAGTGGCCGAATTTAAAGAATTTGAGCGGCGGTTTAAATTTAAGCTGCGGTTTAAATATGGTTGGTTCCTCTTAAAATTGCATCAAATGTTTCAAGATTTAAACCGGCGCTTAATATAAACCGGGTTTTGGCGGATTTAAACCGCGGCTCAAATTCTTTAAATTCCATCTCAGGGTAACTTTATAATAATTAATATGGTATGTTTCCAAAATTTATAATGGTGAAGTTTGCTGCTCATTGCTTATAGCTTCTGCTACAATATACAGGGTTCTCGAGAAAAAATATCTAAATATTGTTAACTACAGTGAAACCCAAAAAAACTTCGGAATAAAAAGGCGACTTTTTGACAAAAAAAAATTTACTTTAAATAGGCCAATGAGCATTGGACATCGCTATTTTGTAGCGTAAAAGACCCATTTCACTTAAATATCGATTTAATAAGTGTCTAGAAATACCTAAGTATTGTTATAAAGTCGTCTTCCTATTTCAGAGCTTTCTGGTTATCACTGTATTAAAAACTAAGAAAGCAAACAGACAGACAAATATGCAGACAGTAACATGTTGTTTGTCAATTTACAGTTTTGTACCTATGCTAAAGCTTAGAAATGTAATGCATTACAATGACATCGTAATAAGTCACGACACCCTTTGTCTGAAATGTGGGGGGGAGGCCAGGGGGGGGGCAGGCCAGGGGGAGGTGCTTTAATAGTTGTTATTCTTTAATTGTAGTTGAATTCATCATGTAAAGATGGAAGAGGTGGAAGGGGTGATAAAGGCTTTAAAGGGACTATTAATGTTATTTTAAGTGACTCTCCATTTCTAGATTGGCGGTATATGATTCACAACGGTGTGATTATTGACGACGGAGAAATTCGTGTTTTTCTCGATGGGCTAACTGAAGATGTGTACAGTGTACACATGAACATTGTACAGTATATTTCCTAATCATATTTAAAGAAAATCCCGAATATTCTATGTTCAACTTGCTTTTAAAAATTCCAATGAAAATATTTATTTTCTATGACTCTTGAAAATTAATAAGAATATATTTTAAGAATTTTTATAAGTGTACAATTTTGTTTAATTGTATGATAGAGAATGTGTGCGTTTCTATGATTCTTTTGTGTACGCATTTTCTCCATAATAATAATCTATTCTCGCGTATTGCGTAACATATCGGCACTTTTCACATACATATATCAAAGCCTAGAAAAGATGCAAGGACTGATATAAAAACAAATATGGTCTCTTAAGCGCCCCCCCCCCCCACCCTGCCCTTGATAAATATTTATGGCGGAAAGAGGCTGTATAACTTTTATCAGATTTCTTCAGGGTTTAGAACAATAGATCCAAGGTGGGAGAAATCTTACCATGTTTTCATAATAGTCAATGTCTTCAACTAAAAATTATATAAGCTGAAACTTTTGAATCGTTAATCTCTTCCTTCAATCATTTCATAATTAGCTGATTAGCTCTCTTCGTGAACTTCCGTTTTATTCCCGGAAGTGAAATTAAATCCTTTAATTTTAAAGTTTATACTGTGAGATATTGATATTAAGTTCAGTTGGGAAAAGCTGAGTACTATACCAGACAAAGCTGTGAATTTTTGAATAGATGTTGGATGATATACTGATCCTCTGATTGGTAAATTTTTTTAAAAACTTTAATTTCGTTGTTTTTGTGAAGAAAAAAACAATGATTAAAAGTTTTTGCGCGCTTTGTCTGATAAAGAATGCACTAAAGTTGATTGATTGATATAAGTAAAAATAGAGAAAATTGTCAGAATTAAACACTTTCAAACTTATAAAAAAAATGTATTTGAAATTACGACAGCCTTCCACTTTAAGCAAAAAAACATGAGCACTTTTTAAGGCCTTATTTGAAGAAAAATTGACAATGCAACGTCCAAAATAATTTCGCGGTTTTAAATGCAAACTTTTTTGTAGCAAATTAAAAACACAATTTTTGGGATAAATATTAAAAATTGCTTCTCTTTTTTAGACAAGCAATTTCACGCTATTTATTTTCTAATTGTTTAAATAACGTTTTTCCTACATCACGCATCGTACGAATAACTTAAGATAAGTTTTGCAAATATTTGTATAGGGTTTAGGAATTGTATTTCATTG